GGGCTCGCAGGCTAAACAGGAAAACTTACAACAGTAATGGCTCGCCTTCATGGATCCCCACCCAGACAGTGGTACTAACCTTCTCTGGACAAAGACTGCCCTCCCATGTTTATTGTTTCTTTACCTCACTCCCAGTAGAAACATACGTCCTTCCAACGATCCAATGCAACAAGTGCTGCAGGTTTGGACACATCCAGACTCAATGCAGATCAGAAGCTCGTTGTTTTATTTGCGCACAAGCCCATGAGGGCATATCTTGCACCAAGGAAATTCCAACTTGTCTGTACTGCTCTGGTTGCCATAAAGCAACAGATCCCTTATGCCCTGAACAAATAAGACAGAAACATATTAAGCTAGCTATGTCCCAGGATAATGTTTCATACTCTGAAGCATCTGCCAGATTTGCCCAAGTCCGAAGATCTTTTGCTGATACAGCAAGGGCGGACATTCGTGGTTTCCAACCCTCTCCAACCCCTCACTATGCTTCCCCCCACCATCTTTCCCCGCAACTCAGTCCTCCGCAATCCATTCCTTACCGCAAAACAGTATATACTCCTAGACATCAACCCCTCCCTGCCTCTAGTCCAGGATTTAATCAGCAAGCTCATAGGGACATAGTTAAGCCCCCTAGGTCTCAACTCTCAAATGGTTGCGCATTGCCAAATACCCCCTCATTGCCGAATGATAATCTAATATCTTTACTTCTATCAACCATCATCAATCTTTTGGGTCGTTTTAGTGACGTCCCCCTACCGAACAATGTCAAAGACCAACTGTCTCAGCTCCTTAATCTTACCTTTTCCAATGGCTCCCATACTCCAATGGAACTACCGGAGCAGCAAGAATAAAGAAAATGAAATATTATTTCTAATTAATAAATACTCTCCTGATGTTTTTGCCATCCAGGAGATGCGGCGTAGGCCTGGCGACCGAGTTCGGTTTCCGGGTTACTCGTGTCTCCGGGACGACAGAACAGATGGACAAGGAGGTTCGGCCCTCCTTGTGTCGCGATCTATTCCTTTCTCTCAGATCCCCCTCCCTCCCCATAGTGAACATATCAATGCAGTATCTGTCAAATCCCTCGAAGTAACTTACCTCTCGGTTTACATACCCCACCCCAACCATGCATGCCTTGCTGAGTTTTCTGATATTCTCTCCCATCTGAGCCTTCCGCTTATAATTTTGGGTGATTTTAATATCCACCACACTTCCTGGGGCTCATATTTTAATGACCATTTATCTTCCTCTTTCTTGGACATCATTGACAGATATGATCTCTGCATCCTTAACGATGGCTCCCCTACGCGTAGAGTTTATCCATCTCAAAATATTAGAAGCGCTGTCGATCTGTCCCTATGCACCCCATCCATATCCTCCCGACTTATCTGGACAATCTTGCCAGTAACACATGGCAGTGACCATTTCCCCATCATCATAGAGTCAACACAGCACCGTGTTGACCGTACTAATGTGCAGGGTATTCCACGCCCTCATTTAAAATTCAATTTGGCAAAGGCTGACTGGTCAAAATATAGTAGTATTTTAGAACAAGAAACCCAACATCTTCCTGTAGTCAATCCTGACAATGTCCTCTCAGTGTATATTGATTTTAGAAATTGCCTGCTCACATCAGCAGAAAAATCCTTCCCTACCAAAAATATATATAAGGGGTACCCTCCATCTCCACCTTGGTGGGATTCCGAATGCACTGTAGTCTGCAAAGAAAGAAAAACAGCGGAACTTATATATGCCCAGACAATGTCAGAATCCAATTTTATAATATACCGTGCAGCTGCAGCAAAAGCTACAAGAACACTAAGTTCTAAAAAAAATTTGGCTGGCATAGATTTTGTGCAACTCTCTCACCAAGGTCCCCCCCTTCATTAGTTTGGAGGAATATCAAAAGATTTAGGGGTGCTATGTCTTGCACCAGCAACATTAGTTCCAATGACACCGCAGAGTGGCTTGATCAATTTCAAAATAAACTGGCTCCTCCTTCAGTTCCTACAGACATTGCAATCCGTTCGGGTGTACCCCCATCATTTTCCCCACACACAGTTTTTGATGATCCATTCTCTCGAGAGGAACTCGAAGCAGCTCTGGGAGGCCTCATTGATTCTGCCCCTGGGGTGGATGGGATTCCATACTCTTTTATTATTAACAGCGGTAATGCAAATAAAGAGTTGTTCCTTAGTATCCTCAATTGCATATTTGTAACAGGGCTCCCTCCAGAAGAATGGAAAACACAAATTGTTATACCCATATTAAAACCTGGTAAACAAAGTAATGACCCTAATGGATATAGACCCATAGCCCTTTCCTGCACAATGTCCAAAGTCCTAGAACATCTTATCAAAAATCGCCTTGAGTGGATTGTGGAGAGCAAGGGTATACTGGCCAAAAGCCAATTCGGTTTCCGGAAAGGCGTTAGTACAATGGACAGTCTAAGCATTTTCCTGACTGACATGTGGATTGGTTTATCTAAACGGGAACATATAATTGGAGTATTTTTAGATATATCATCAGCGTATGATAATGTTTTGCTTCCGTTACTCAGGCAGAAACTGCTCAATCTGAGTATTCCCGTGAGGCTTGTTAATATAATTTTTAATCTCCTCTTTGCCCGTTCAATTCAAGTGAGCGTTAACAACTTACTTTTACCACAAAGGACCGTTTGGAGAGGCCTCCCACAGGGGTCAGTTTTAAGCCCATTACTTTACAGCATCTACACATATGACCTTGAGCTGTCGCTCAATCCATTTTGCAACGTTCTCCAGTATGCCGATGATTTGGCCTTATACATTTCAGATAGCAATACCGAAACTGCCTCTGCCCGCCTTAATTCTGCTTTGGACTACCTCTATGGTTGGCTATCCGACCACGGCCTTTCGTTGTCGGTCGAGAAAAGTAACATGGTCATCTTTTCCCGTGCGAGAAATACTCCTAATACTATTATTAAATATGATAATCAGCCCATTCCTTTGAAAACTCAAGCCAAATTCCTTGGAGTTGTATTTGATTCAAAAATGACAGGTGTTCAGCACATTACACATATTCTTAAAAAATGCGAGAAAAATATTAATATTCTCCGTTCACTGTCTGGAGCATGGTGGGGAGCACACCCACAGTGCCAGAAAATACTGTACAATGCTTTAATTCGATAGATTACTTACCTAGACTACGGAGCTTTTCTACTGGAACCATGTAACAAATCATCTTTAAGTGCCCTAGACAAAATACAATATAAGTCTCTCCGAATTGTAGTAGGAGCTATGAAATCTTCTCCCACTAACGCCCTGCAGGTGGAATGCTCGGACCCCCCTTTATCCATTAGAAGGCAATATTTGGCAGACAGATTCCTTTTCAAAGTTATCCAAAATTCATCCCATCCGCTTATCGATAAACTTCATCAATTATCAGAATTTATATCATACGATAAATTCTGGACACATAAAACGACTCCATCCTTGTTCCGAAGCTTCCTTAAATTTCTGCGACTTCCTTCTCCAGTGCACCAATGTGTCCTAAACCCTCTATTTGACAATCCTTATCACTCACTAGTATATCGACCTGATATCTCTCTTGACTTAGGCATCAGTAAAAAATCCACTGATGCTGAGGTTCGGTTACAGGACTACATCAGTAAAAAATGGAACAACTGGCTTGTTATGTACACAGATGCCTCAAAGCTATCTGATCAAGAGTGTGTTGGTGCTGCTGTTTGGATTCCCAAATATAAAATAATTCTAAATTTTAAATGCCCACCGGTCTCTTCAGTCTTTTCGGGTGAAGCCATTGCTATCCTTGAGGCTCTCCTATATACAGAGTCGCATAATGTTGATAAAACTGTCATTTTATCAGATTCTAAAAGTTGTCTCCAGGCTATTTTGTCCAACCCCTTCCGTAATAAATCCAACTTCCCTTGTATCCTGAAAATTAGAGACGTGTTATACAGGTGCCACCTTCAAGAAATTAGAGTTTCCTTGGCCTGGATCCCAGGCCATTCAGGAATAGTAGGTAACGAAGCCGTTGACCTGATGGCCAAAGATGCCACTAATAATAGTTGCCTCACTCACCCTCAAGTATTTTGTCATGACTTATTCTCATTAGCAACCCAAAAGATGATGTCATCATGGCTCGCTGAATGGAAAGAGTCTAGTAAGGTGAAAGGAAAATATTACGCCGACATTCAAAATTTTATTCCTAAGAAGCCTTGGTTCTTCGAATACAATGAAGCATCTAAATTTTGCACCTCCACTTTATGTCGACTAAGGCTGGGCCACTCAAGTACTCCTGTACATTTAGCCAAAATTAGGATTAGGGACAACTCACTTTGTGAATGCGGGCTTGATGATGGTTCTCCAGACCACATCTTTTTCAATTGTCCCAAATATTCTGTTTCACTGTACGATATCCTTCCCCCATACATTCCCAAACCCACAAATTTTAAAACACTCCTTAATTATGTTAACTCCCCTTTTATTGTTATCCTATGTAATTATATAACTAGCAATAACATAAAATTATAATGTGTTTGTTCTATCTAACATACTAACACTTGTGTTTATATATTGTGTCCGTCCTTTCAGGTAAATCAACAGCTCCGCAGCATCAAAATTTAAATTCTATGTATTAAAACTTGCATTTCTCACATTGTCCTCCCACAAGGCTCGTTGTACCGTAGTAACATAGCTGCAGTAGCCCTTACATTCTGCTAAGCGGAAAACTCGACACTGGCGAAATCTTAAAAAGAAGGAACCGCCATTGAACAAAACGAAGAAGAAGATTTTTTTACTTGCCATTGGCGAAATCATCGTTTCTTTCGATGGAGCCGTAGCATTTAAAAGAAGAAGATTAAAATCATTTGTGATGCACTCGTGAGCCGATGTATGTTTTCAAGGTGTTAAATTATTTTTTTGGCAAACTTTTTGAGGACTTCGTTGATATACCTACTGTGAGGCGAGTGACGTATTTAATTCTCTTTTTATTAGAACCTCGTAATCATTCTACCGCAAAACAGGCTAGATCTCGGCTATTATCATTAATAATAAAATGTGGTATAACCAATCGTGAGATGTTGATGTATTCAAATTTGTAACGTTATTACGGTAAAGCATAAGCTCATCATCATCATATCATATACAGCCTGTCTTCACCCACTGCTGGGTATAGGCCTCCAAATTTCTGTGCCACTCTCCACGATCCCGTGCTAATCTCATCCAGGTTCGCCCCCCCCAATTCCAGCGATGACATCATGCCACTCAGTTATTGCTGTACTCCATCTGTCATCTTGTGTCTGCATCCGGTGTCCTGCCCAGCTCCACTTGACATTGGGAACACGGTCTATAAGCTTGATATCGAGCATGCCACTGTCCATGTCTCAGCCACCTGCGTGAGCTCATAGACGTTATTAATGAGTGTTGAAACAGGTATTGGGTTGTTTTGTTTGTGTAAGTGCTTTTTGTTAACGCATGCTATTTATTGTTAATTTCTATTTGTGTTGTGTTCTGGAAGTATAGGTGGAAACCTGTAAATGGCTGTACGTTTTTAATCCTGTTTTTATTAAGTGTTTTAAACCTGCAGGTTTTCCGTGAATAAATAAAAAAAGGTAAAAGTGAACACAGGGAATCTTCCAAAATGTGTTTTTTTTAAAGTAATTACACGTGTTGGTAATTTGCTGTAATTACATTAGATGTTGTTCTTAGTCAACATGATAGGTACTTTTTGTTATCTTAACAATAGGATTTAAGTAAGACAAAGTGTTCCATCGTTAAGTGTCCTCAGGCAATGGAAATATTGCTTGAGCTATAAGAGATATAAAGCTGCTGAAATATAAGAGATATCAAAAAGCTTTAAATTGATGTCGAAAAGCTTTACACCGATATCGACAGTATGTTACCTAATGAGTAAATCAACATCAATAACTTTTTAAAAATAAAACTGAAAATATCCAAAGGATAATGGCAAACGGGAGTTAAAGATGTCGCTATTCTCATAGATGGCGCTACGACTAAAAAATCGTTGAAAAACCAAATACAAAGACATGACGCAAGCACATTGAGAAATTCGTGAGGTCCGCTGGTTCGTTCCGTGGCTTAGTTGGTATAGTGTCTGGCACGGTAAGCTAGAAGACGTCGGTTCGAATCCGGCCGGATCGAAGGAATTTTTTCTGAGTGTTCAATCTTGTTATTAATAATTATACTTTGTATGTGTTTAAAAAATTTGTGAAAACATAGAGTTGAAATTTGTAAACAAATTTTGTTTTGGGTTTGGTTCAACGATAAAAACTAGCTATATTTTTTTGCTCCTGATTTAATTGCTTCTTGCAATTTTTAGTTCCATATGGAACAGTTTTTGGGATAGATACCACAAAACAAGAAATTACCCCAATAGGTCCGTATGGCACCTACTACATCTCTAAGGGCATAAAAGCCATGGTTGTGTGTTTTAATTGCAAGTGGGCTGTCAATGCGCATTTATAACAAATCTAAGTTAGTATGAGAAGTAGAAAAAAGTTTGTATTCATTTTCAAAAGTTGTACAAAGGGAGGTGAAGTTAATGGATATATTCTTTATTGCAGATTAAAAATTACAATGACGACATAACAGTAATGTAAACATATTATCGTAATAAGCTACTGTACCTACAACAGGTAGCTTTATTGCAAAGTAGCGATTTCTAGGACAGAAAATGACTAAATGCGAAGGGGGTGCAACCAAAGAATATTATGTAATAGAATGTTGTTTGTACATTCTCACGAGTAATATAAAATGTTAGAATCTCGAGAAATGGTGCAGTGCGTTCCTCTGCACTACACTCTAAAGTTATTTCAATGAACTGAGAATTGTAGATTTTTTGTTTTACTTTGATTTAATATTTATTTATTTCCAGAAAATGGAGTCAAAATTAAAGACGAAACAAGAACAAGAGCAGCTTGCTGTTACAGAAAAATAGCTGACTGAAAACTTGGAAACTAGATAGGAAAAGGCTTACTTTCAAGTGCAAGGTACCGTGCCCCTTCAGCGTCAAATTATCAAGACTTATTCGTGCATCACATCAAGCTACACATCGACGGATTTTGTTCCGTTGCACTGAAGGTGGAGGCGATAATGGCTTGATGTGCTGTTGCAATTTCTTCCACACCCTTAACACAGAAATTGACTAGGCGCGAAGGGGGTGAGACCAAAGAATATCTTTTAGCAGCAGTAGAGCTCCTTGTGAAAGAGTTCGTCCAGGAAAGTACTGCTACTACCTTTACCTATTTCTGCCGCCAAGCAGTAATGTGAGCATTACTGCGTTCCGGTTACGAAGGGTGCTGGTGAAATTACAGGCACATGGGACTGGTCAACTATGTCTCAGGGTGACGGGCGCAATGGCAGTGCACCTCAGATCTTTGCGATTAAAGCTCTGAGTGTCACTGTAACTGTTATGGACAGGCGTGTAGCGTACCATCAGGTACACTATTAATTCGTCCCGTCAGAGTTGATATTATAAAAAAAATTCTTTTAGTACAAAAGTGAGGTCCAAATGTCAAAATATTATTTGTAAGAACTGAGAGGCTTCCAACTTTTAGAGGCAACCCGTGTAGACGTACCACTGATTTAATAATTTATTTAGTATTTAACTTGCAGAAAGAATTTGAAGAATATAAGCAAAAATCCGAAGAAAATTATCAACAGCAACTGAGAACGCAAGGAGAAGAATTGAAAAAGACACTACAAGCTCAAGTCGATGAAATTCGTAAAATGTTTTCTACATTGTCAAGTGGGAGTACTGGTTCTCACAAACAATTGTTGAGTCAAGTGGAACAGTCAATTACAACCAGTGTAACACCACTTGCAACAACTGCAACTAATAATCCTGAACAGTCTGGGCGCGAAACTAAAGGAACTTATGTCAATTGGCGTTTTTATTATGACGAAATACGATTCATACCCTTATCCGAATTAAAAATAACGTTAACAAAGCTACAAAATTTGGACATAACCGTAGAAGCAAATAAAGCAACAGCGATGGCTTTGATTGGTCAATTAATATCATCCGGATTTACTGTGAGGAGAAATCGTAGATTTCCCCTCAATGGTGATTATGTTTATATTAATTGGATAAATGACTTATATGCACATATCAAAGATATTGATAACGATTGTGTTAATATCAATTACAATAATTCCATAAGTGTTATTTTTAATAAATTTGTGCAAATAAATAATGATAAAGGTTGGAACGAAGCTCACAATTATGCACATGCAACTTACTTGAAATTTTTCCAAGAAACAACAACGCCGCAATCGCGTCTGGACACATATTTGTGGTGCCTGTGTCGCTTAATGCATATTGAAAACAAACTTTTAGGAGAAGATCAGTTTTGTTATGTGTATAATGTTACTACTTTTGAGAAAGACTATAATTTAACATGGAAGGAAGTTGAGTAATAAAAATAGGTTCACGTGGCGACTTCTTAATTGGGCATATCCATTTTGTCTGCAACACCTGAATTTTATTCAGAGTTTAGAGAGATCCCTAAGTAAAATTTATTTATGTTGTTTCTATCGGCCCCTTGGAGTTTCATGAAAAGATAAATTACGTAAGTACTTATGAATTTGTTTTCAATTAAATATGTGTCAATTTAGTACACAACGCCATCGACGTGCCATCGGGTTGCCAGAGCACACAAAAAAATGGAATGGCAGTTGAATAGTAGCTCGACGGCTAGCCACTGACAAGCGTTAAATTTTAGCGGAATACACACAACTGAGATAATTTCAAATTGGCAGACGTGGAGCCCAAGCAATTGGTGTGGTCTCACAATTGTTATTTTACGAATTATACAACTATATTGTTGTGTCGGCACTGCACTAAACTTATGTGTATCATGACCGCACTCGAAACAAATAGCACTTATAACACAAGCTTATATTTGTTATTTAGACAGCCGCCTCTCAAAAATATTTCCCATCTCTGAAGAAACAGCCTGTATCCAAATGACATACTTTAATGTCAACATCACACGTTTTATTATCTATTAAATTAATAAATTTGTATACAATAATTTTGTATATAAAATAATAAACAAACTGAGCCTTAAGTCTAAAGACAGAAAGAAAGTTTTAAGTCATTATCATAGATATCGGAATAGGCAAAGTATGTTAAACTTGAAGGAACTATATTTGAAATCCGCGAACTATTGTATTGTATTTGTTTTATGTATTATATAGTGTATGCACCGATTTCTTTACTACGATATAGTATATTTAGAAGAAAAGTTTGTAATAAAAGCAAACATACGTTAACTGTTGTGATGGAACTGATTTTTCGTCTTTTATTTTTAATCGTACTGTTTCTTTGTATTATGCATTTGTGAATATGACTACGGACATTGTGTGTTTATTTCTAAGTACTATACTAAGCTTGAAGTGGCGATTCGACAATGTGAGCTTATTTTCAGAAAGATTTGTGTGTTGTGTATAATACAGATGTACTGTGATATAGCGTCCCAAAAGTGTGAGTAAAGTGTAAAGGTGGTTTTCCACTAGCGAAGCGAAGCAAGACGAGGCGAGATGAGAATTGAAATTTGTATGACAAAATTTGAATTCTCTCCTATAGTCGTGCCACAAGATAGCATTCTCTTTTTTACAGATAGTTTTAGACTCGTAACACATCCCCTTTAATCAGTATCATTAATACTAGTATGGTACTAGTTACTAAAATACTATAGTAATTTAGTAGCATTCATACCAACCTGAGATAAAGTCTGGCTAAAGTCAAGTGGAAAATTTTAAAAACTAGTGTGTTAAAACCAAAAAAAATATTGTAAAGGTATGCGTATGTACACAACCAAAGTCACCATCTGTATTCTTTTCACACGAGCTGGAACTCAATTCACTTAAATTTACGATTATTTGTGTTTTCGATTGCTTGTCATAATGTACATCTCTCAACCAGTCTGAATTAATTTCATTTTACATTTTTCTCTACAACGTGTGGTTACTTTAGTAATTTGTTAATATTTTTTTCGGCGAAATTAACATTTAGTTGTAAATATCACAAGTATGTAATCTTATGAACGGTGTCTACAACAATTGATTTGATATTATGTATTCATAAAAAATATCGTTAATGGCAACACTTAACAATTTAATTTTTGGGGATATTTCTACCATACTACATAATTTCTGTTTATCACATGTAAACAACACGTGAGTGAGAGACATCGATAGGTTTAAGGAAAAAAAACATAGAACATAACCGTTTAAGGGTCGTATTCCAGAACTCTACTCAATGCTCAAGTCAGGACTTGAGCAGACTTGAGTATGATTTCAAGCACTGGAAATACGACCCTAATGGCAAGGTTTTGAGTATGATTTTCAGTGCTCACTGCAATACTCAAGTCCTGACTTGAGTATTGAGTAGAGTTATGGAATACGACCCTGAGTAACGTGTCTTATATATAAACTATCACACCTTTACTGCAGATACCTATTATATTATGTGTTATTGTAGTCAAATACTAAATATTTAACCGAAATAAACAAGTTCTTAGTGTTCACAGTGGAGTTAAATATTATAATTTTTCTTTTCCTATTTGGACAATTATTATTCAGTTCTATCGCCGTTCACAGCTGTCAAAAAGAGAATGATGTCTTGGCTCGACTATCCTTGATTTCTCTAATCACATGATAAAACTACCCTGTTGCATGCGAGATATCACTAGGCTTAAGAAAAAAAATCGCATAGAACGTAACCGTTGGCATGATGTATCATAAATACAAACTATCACAAGTTTAAAGCAGATATAAAATCAAATTATGTGTTATTACGGTTAAATACCATTTATTTAACCGAAATGAAAGCATTGTTAGTGTTCACAAAGAATACAAATGAAATAATTAATCGTTTCCTATTTGGACAATTATTATTAAGTTACGTTCTGTCGCTGTTCATAGCTGTCAAAAAGAGGATGCTATGTTGGCTCGACTATAGAGTATCTTCAGTGGAAATGGTCTGGATTGACGAGGATGGGCGAGGCGAGAATTCAAATATTTGTTGATGTAATATTGAACCGTATTGCTGCTTACTTAGATTATTATACTCTTTAACGGAAACACGATTTCTCGCGCGATCTCGCGAATGCCTGCACGGTCTCGCACAAGCGATGGCTATTAATGTCAATCACGAGACTGTGGGGTACGTACGATTTGAGATTTAAAAAAAGATGGCTTCATCAGATTCTTCTTCCGTTAACATATTTAATAATTTTACGGGACATGTTACTTTAGCGCGTATTTATCGCTAGATGAACTGAACAGCACTGAATCTTCACTAATGGCAATTTTTGGTGGAAATAGGTGGGCGAGATTTCAATTCTCGTCTCTCCTCGTCTCGTCTCCCCTCGTCTCGCCTGCGGAAAACCACCTTAATACGCAAATTTAATCTTTTTGCTTCGAAGCTCAATTATGATGCGTAGCAATGTTTCTTACATTTACATAAGTACATTAAAGTTAGGTATATTATATAAGTTACTTTTTCAATAAATAATTTCAAGAATTAAGTTTTATTGATTGTTATTTTTAACCGACTTCAAAAAAGGAGGAGGTTCTCAATTCGACTATGTTCTTTTTCTTCTTTTTTTTGTATGTATGTTACGCGCTAACTCCGGTATTTGTGAACCGATTTTCATGATTATTTTTTGTTGGAAAGTACCCCCTTAGTGGTCCCATTTCATTTTGAAGAAATCATCCACCTTGAAAAGTGGCTGTTCACGCATGAAGATTCATTATTATAAATAGCGCCTAACTTTAATTTAGGAGCAATTACTTTAATGGTTGATTTTGCTATTTCTCCAATTCAAGGCGTTTTTCGGAAAGGAATTCTCGCGCATGCTCGAGTATGCTCGCGCATTCGCGAGAATTCCGTAGCTCCGTCGGCGACGCCTGGCGAATCCGGGAAGTGGCGCAGTGTGACGCCAAACGTCGACGAAATACTATAGCCTCAAGATGCAGTCGCACGAATTCTCGAGCATTCCAGCAACCTCCCGCGCCACATCGAGCAGCGAGGCGAAATTGCGGTGGAACATTCCATTCCGTTCCACCGCAATGTACATTGAGTCCTAGGCGTTCCTCCATCTTCGATCTCATCGTTACTTTCCGTCTGGTATGCCCATACCAGACGGAAAGTGACGATAAGATCGACTTTACTTGCGAACGTATAAGAATAACACTTCCTTGTATAATCCCTTGATAAGAATGTATCGGCTTTATCTGTGAAAAACTCCTGTTTGGATATTTTTGACTCAAGATCCAGAATATTTAAAGGAGTAGAGAAAGTCCCCTATCACTTACCTACATATTCACCGAAACATCATCTCGCTTTCGTATTTAGTAAATAAGTATATTATTTAAGTAGATAGCAAATTATGAACAGTACATCTTCCTTGTTACTTTATAATGATGTGCCAGCGTAAGTAGGATTACAATCTGGTGCAGAACTTTGTAATCATTGTAGCGGACAGTATGTATCAATGGGCAAAAGAGTGGGTGCTAACAACGAGTGGGCAAGGCCAACGTACTTATAGTTTATTAATTTTTATTATAAAACACGTAATGCAGCTATCAAAGCAAACGGCAAGAACAATAGCGCGAAGAAAAGGCGCCAAGTTTTTGGCGCCTTCAACAACACAATCACATTTAAATTTAGGTATAAAAAGAGACTATAAAATACATATAAAAGAGATTTGTAGCGACTGCTGCGATTCGCCACAATCGTATTTTGTTCAAATTTGAACATCATGTATTTAACAATAAAACGCAAGATCATACCATCAAGTATTTATCCAGAAATAGAGACGAAATGTCATTTAATTTGTTTGAAAACTATTCTGCCATATCATTACTGTGACAACTGCGCTCCGATTGGCTAGGCCGAGTTGACGGGTGTCGTCAACTGTATCACTTCAAATCGACCTGTTAACTTGAGCTTTGCTATAATGGACGAAAATTGCAAAATTACATATTTAATATTTAATTATCGATGCTGTTTTTCCCACACCACCGAATAAAACAGCACGCCATTGTTAGAGATATTATCTTTATTACAATAAATCATTGACTTACAATTATATGGACGTCGGGTCCGCGCTAAAAAGTGTCCGCACTTGTAAGGCGCTAAAATCGTATACAGAGCGCGACAGTCTTCATTTGTTCTACTGACAGCGCGATACTGCGATGACATTACAATTTAAATTTCGAATAGGTTGACTTGGGACATTTTTTTCGTGGTTTTTGTATTAGACCCGTCGTCCATTTATTTGTAAGTCAATGCAATAAATACAGAATATTTTTTGGAATATACGGAGATGTACACACAGTCAGTAGTTGGCCTGTCTATATTTCAGTACAAACGACAGTTGATATTTATAAGAGCTGTATCGCTAATGTGTTACCAGAAACATATGGCCCTTATTTCGTCTCTAACATATATTTAAACTGTCAAAAAATAAGGCCTCATCATCAATACAATACAAGAATACAAGATATTTATTCGCTGAAAAATGTAGTTTACAATGGTGTTATAGTACGAGTATATTATTATTAGATCGTACATTTCACCAAAACTTGGCATGCGAATATTTTACACAATTCTTATTCCAATCACGCACAGTGGTTAAATTTTACGTTTTATGTTATCAATAAAAAATCATTTATATTGTAGTAGCATTGTGTAACTAACAACAAGTGCAACATAGTAACATAATTAACTACTTAACAGAAAGATCTTCGTCGGCAACCAACACACATAGCACACACAGAAAAATCTATCATATTGTATTAGTCATAAAAATTGTATAAATAGTAATAAGAATTCTAAATATAGTCAGTTCATCCACTACTATCTGATTTTAACTCATCCAACTCATCATCTTGCTTAGTACTACCTGCTACTCCTCTCACTGTGGCCAAGGCCCCCTTGGCCGTCAGTAGATCGGTCTTGTGAGTCTGCTTGACCGGCAGTGAGAATATCATTCCAGTACACATTGCACGACGTGTACTTCCTTACCTCCTTCCACCCTTCCGTTTGTCACCTTATGTCTCCTGGTGACAGTCTTCCCGTTCATAATATCTAATCTATATTTCTATCTAATATATATTTATGGTTAGGTTAGGCTACACACAGTTAGGTTGTAGGGCTACACTATTAGATAAATTCATAGGAACGACCCCTGAGGTCTCACCTTTAGGTTTAATAGGGTAGTTTATTTTTATCTTGACTTTACCGTAATTTCGTGCACAGCAGGCGGTTCGTATTTGCTGCATATAACACCACACACTACATCAACAGACAAGCACTACCACCTCATTAATACCTAACCGCACGCTGTTCATATATTTTAAATGTTATCAATGTAATTTGATTGTTTTGTTGTCCATATAATAAATAAACGAGCACTTTTTTTTTATAAAAAGACACTGACTGTTGTATCATTTAAGTATTATTAATATAATAATATTCATAAGAAATAAAAATAAGTTCTCTACCATTAATTAAAACTTAGCGATAACCATTTATCTTTTTAAGATTGAACTGATTATTGGAGAATTAGAGCGTTTAACTTTGAAACAGGCTGAAAAACAGGCGCGTGACAATGCCATTTGAACAGTATCTCTGCAATTAGATATTACATCAATGTCACGCTACTGCTAGACTAGTTTACTTTAGTTACTTCCATATTATAATGTTCTAAGGGATTCTCATGTGGTGTAAAGCAGCAGATATATACAAACCATATTTGTGTTGCAAAAACAAGCGATTTGTTCTGTGTACCATTTAGGTTCTCGGGTTTCTCGCAGAGAAAAGTTTAAATAGACTGGTATCATGACTGTGGCATCACAGTGCATTTACTCAAATATTTTATATGCCTGTAAAAATATACATAATTTCATTAAGAAAGAAGATATATCTACATTATATAAACCTTAGAACTAAGTCCAAACTCATGGTAGCACGATTTCGTTAAACTAAGGTAAATGATTCTTTTATAGGGAACTGTATACGGTTTTACAATAAGATTCCGGAGCATATATTAAAACTTACATTAAAAGGATTTTAATTGAAAAGTCATATTACAAAATTGAAGAGCATGTATTAGATAAAGATGTATGGAAAGACAACATGGGTCTAGATTCCACACAAATTTGGTTCAAAGTATATTCCATAGCATTTAAGTTTATTTGAAAAGAGTAATTCCTAGAGCTTTTTGCTCGTTCTTTTT